CAGTGATAATCCACTTGTAATGTTCATTGTTTCTCTAGCTCTTAGAGTAAAAGATGAGCAAATATACCCTTAGTTATTTTTTTTTCTAATGGTTTCTTTTAAAAAAGAAAAATCATATTTAGAGGTGGAAATAGCTTTCCCTTTAAATTAAATTAAAAGACAGAGAGAGAGAGAGAGAGAGAGAGAGAGAGAGAGAGAGAGAGAGCAGGCCAATAATGAGACCCGAAAGCAAAAGTCAGGTGTCAGACTGTGTGCTGACCATATGATGAAGGAAGGTGGCTCCGAAGGGGCTAAGGAATCCAGTTCTCATCATTAACCGATAGATTTCCAGGGCCAGCTCCCATCCAAATTCAAAGCAAAGACAAGTTAAAGTTAATCAAGTGCAAAACAGCTTCAATTAGTCCACAGAAAACTCGGTGACAGACCAAGGGGAGGAAACCTGCTGACACCCGCACCCTCCTGCTCCTCCCTCTGTCCCCCTCCCTGGGCGCTGGCGGGAGCTGCTTGGAGGAGAACTGCCTTAGGTCTCTGTCTGGAGGGACTTCAGGCTCCGGTGCCCCACCCCGCGTGCTAATGAGAGAGGCCCGCCGTCAGGGAGTGCAATTCCGCATGGACGTTTCCACCAAAATGGATTATTTCAGCCTCGTTGGTCACAGATTCTGTAGTTTTCCAGTGATTCATCTTACTATTAATAATGTCAGAGGATTTTAGGCCCTTGAATTAAATAATGACAAATAGGAGGCTGGGCTGTGTATTTCAGCATGCAGCACTGTCAGGCCTGATAAATCGGATCCCTGAAATAGTTTGTAAAGTCCTGAATTGATGTGGCCGCTGCTGAGGGAGAGAATTAATGTTACGAAATAGGCCTGCAACCTGGATGGCATGGGAGCTGAGGAAAGCCTTTTATATAAATGCTGTGTCCGTGCTGGAGACGGGGCAGTGGGAAGTGAGTCACCCAGGAAAAGAATACGCTTCGGTGCTCTCCGGGGGTGACTGGCCGGGCCGGGGGCTGGGGGATCTGGAGCTCACAGACCAGTCATTTATAACCTGAAGCAGGAGGACCCCTGCCGCTGAAAGGATGGAGTTCTTTACAGAGAGGAGTGATGCTTTCAAGCGCGCCAAGGCTCTGTTGACAAGTTTCTTGTGGAAAAGAGGCTTTTTGAGGTCCTTTCTCATACCCCTTCCCAGGCCAGGCCACATTAGCCCAGTCACTCACACGAGAGATCATTTTAAATTATCCTCTAGTTAAAAATAGAATTAAATTTAAAAAACAGAGGGAATAAAAAACACAACTAGAGGCATTGGGGGTGGTGGAGGGGGAGGGGGGGGATGCCCTGGTTTTCTTCTGATCCATGCTATGTACAATACTCATTCAGTCTTTACAGAGAACGAAAAATGCTCATTTTTTTTCCTAAACATTTCTGTAACCAACGGCATTTTTGTAAATGCTCAGATCACAAGAGGAACAGAGAGCTCTGGGAATGTCCTAGTTTGTAAATACTATTAAAATATTATTTTGGTTCTCATGGCACTTTCCTACACTTTAAGGTTGGATTCCAACTTGCTGATGTTGGGAGAGGTCAGTCTGTCAATGTTTCCCTAGTGATGTCATCATGGACTTGATTAACCAAGTAGATCTTTGAGCATCTCCCAGACGTGGCTACTCTGAATTGCTGATTTCTCCTCTTTGTTCTTATCCATTTAAAACTTTCCCCCATGTTTCATCTTCAAAAGATTAAAGCAGATAAGCAAACTAAACCCTTCACCTTTTTGTAACTTCTCATATCTCTTTGACATTTTTCAAAAGTAAAATGTGTTGAAAGAAGGTATTAATTGCTCAGTCATGTCTGACTCTTTGTGACCCCATGGACTGAAACCCGCCAGGCTCCTTTGTCCATGGAATTTTCCAGGCAAGAATACTGGAATGGGTTGCCATTTCTTTATCCAGGGGATCTTCCAGACCCAGGGATCCAACCTGGGTCTCCTAGCATTGCAGGCAGAGTCTTCACTGTCTGAGCCCCCAGGGGAGCCCTACATTTTGGTTAAAATGGGTTGATCTAGTTTGTGTTTTACCAAGCTTTTGCATATACATTATCTGGCAACTTGACAAGACTTCAGGGTTTTGTGAAAGATTTACTCTTTTTGATGGGACTGTTGGGAGATTTTTAAGAAAGAAAGATTCAATATATGGAATCTAGAAAGATGGTACTGATGAACCTATTTGCAGGGCAGTAATAGAGAGGCAGACTTGTGGAGACAGAGCGGGAAGCAGAGGGTGGGATGAATCAAGAGAGCAGAATGGAAACATATACAGTACCATGTATGAAATAGATAGCCAGTGGGCCTTTGCTGTGTGACACAAGGAGCTCAATCCAGTGCTCTGTGACAAGCTAGAGGCCTGGGAGATGGGAGGGAGGTAGAGAAGCGGGGGATATGTGAATGCCTGTGGCTGATGCATGTTGATGTGTGGCAGAAGCCAGCGCAATATTGTAAAGCAATTATCTTTCAATTAAAAATTTTTTAAAAAGAAAGGTTCAGGTATGATTATAACTCAGTGCTTCATTTCTCTCAAGATCTTGGCAGAATACACACAGAGACCCGAAATAAAACCCTGTAAATAAAGTTCTGTCTTAATTAGAGAGCTGTTATTAGACTTTTTCTCAGGGCAAAGAATCCGGAAAAATCATAGCATCATGGGACAGAGAATTCCTATTGGAGGGTCAACTCACAGGAGGCTGGGTCAGAGTTTTCTTTTATGCACTTTTCCATATAGCTGATAAAGGAGCCTCATCAAGTTCACCATGATTTGTCCATGATTCAAACAGGAGGATTAGCAGGGATTCCAACACATTCTTGGGAATAAAGCAAGAGTATACTTACCAGGAGGTTGGGTTTGTCCTGGAGAGGTAGGTTCCTCGACATCTTGCTTCCACACCTTGAAGACAGCCACCCATGGTCAACCAAGCTCCCTTCTCCCACCTTGCCTCTCCTGCCAGCCTTCAACACCAAGGAGAAGTCTGTAGGGACACAGAAGGATTCATTCATGGCTCCTTTTTATGTCCATCATTTTCTCATACTTCAATTTCACTTTCTAAAAACTAAAGGAAGTTTTCCCTCCTGGACCATGTTCAGGTGCTTGGAATAGAGAAGAAGACAGAGATCTCATTTTCCCTGTGCTTTTTTCTTGGCCTTACCTCTGTTATGCAGGATCTTAGTTTCCCAGCCAGGGATCAAACCCGTATCCCTTGCAGTGGAAGTGCAGAGTCTTAACTACTGGACCACCAGGGAAGTCCCCAGAGCTCTGATTCTCAACAGACAGTGCTCTTCCATTGCAGTGAAGCATCTCGTACCTTGTGTCAGGCCCAGCAGGTGATCCACTCACCCCAGTTTTCCTTCACCTATCCTGGGTTAAAACCGAAAGCACTTGTTCCTGCTCACTTGGGCTGGTCACCCCGAAATGTAAATGTTTCCTTAGGTGCAACTTGCTTTAAATCTGGAGGAGCACCAGCTTAGCTTTGTGTTAGTCTGGCCAGCTTTTATGTATTGGGTAGAGCTGAACTTGTAGTGCGACATGTAAAGGTGTAAACAGCTTACTTCTCATAAGGACAGAGTTCAGGGTAATTTAGCTTCTCCATGACGAAAAAGGGTTGTCTCAAACAACACACACGACTACACAAGGTTAACTCGAAGTCTTGCTCTGGTCTGTACAGTTCTCCCCAGACTCCTCCCAAGGGTCAGTAATTCACTCCTCTTTTTGTCAATAGCCTCAGCTGCTAATTTTCTGCCTTACTGAGTGGGTGACTATAATTGAACAGGGCTCAAACAGGCAGAAATGATGTTTTTGAATTGTGCTCCTGGAGAAGACTCTTGAGAGCCCCTTGGATGGCAAGGAGATCAAACCAGCCAATTCAAAAGGAAATCAACCCTGAATACTCATTGGAAGGACTGATGCTAAAGCTGAAGTTCCAATACTTTGGCCGCCTGATGCAAAGAACTGACTCATTGGAAAAGACCCTGATGCTGTGAAAGGCTGAGGGTAGGAGGAGAAGGGGACGACAGAGAATGAGATGGTTGGATGGCATCATCAACTCAATGGACATGAGTTTGAGTAAACTTTGGGAGATGGTGAAGGACAGGGAAGCCTGGTGTGCTGCAGTCTATGGGGTTGCAAAGAGTCAGACTTGACTGAATGTCTGAACAACAACAAGCATAACAGTCCTCTGCTAGAAAAAGGTTCAGTTTTTTTGTTTGTTTGTTTGTTTTTTTGTGGCAGATCTTTCACTCTTACAGAAGCTTTTCATTTGCTTTCAAGCTGATGGATACGTTCGAAATAATGGGAGCTGCTAAGAGTCTGATTTCCAAATCAGCCTAATAAGCTTCAACTACGATTTACTGAAGGTGAAGATGGTCACAATGATCTGGGATTTGAAACCTAGGAAGATACAGTGTTTGGACAAATTTTCTCTATTTGAGTTAATTTGGTATAACTGGCAGAAGTCGCTATCCGGTCAGTTTCTCTTAGTTAAAATAGTTGTCTCCTTGGTATGTTTGTGAGCTATGCGATAAGCTGGAGAAAAAAATTCCTCAAGAAAAGGCAATGCAATCAAATATGTCATTTTCTCACCTAGATTTGCTATTTATGATGGAAGAGCAAGGGGATGTCTACATTCTGCTTGTCAGGGATGTAGATTTCCTTGATCTCTGAGGTCAGGGTTGATTACAAGTGCCATCGTGGGGTGAAGACAAGACGGAACAGTTAGGATGGAACACTGTCTGTGCTGATTGCTCTAACGGGGCTGCCGACCTGAGTGGTGCTTTACATATTCAATTTGAAGCACGTGGTTAGGTTAACAGGAAGGGCTCATTCTAATGCTTCAGAGGCAAAGCTCCTGATCTTTCTTGGCTCCTTTTCCCCAGACTGTGGCAGAGGTCTCTAAATTGGGAGTAATCTTGCATAGCCCGCGGGCTTCCTCCGTGTGGCCCAGCCAGGTGCGGTAAGGATGAAATGTGGCAGCGAGGACAGGGCTGTTAAGTGTAATGGACAAGCCGTGTCAAGAGCAATAAAGCAGCAGGGGATATGGGACTTTGAGCGCCGCTTTTATGAACACATCGAGAGCCTCACCGATTGTACTTGGGAGCGCAGTAATGCAGGGAGCAGAAACAGCGGCCAGGAGGCATTCTCAGGAGGGGCAGAAATTCGTTCCTTCTCTCCAGCTAGCTAAAGACCAGATATGTTCCCAGCATCCTGGGTTGGGCATCAAAAATGGTTCATATAGGCCCCTTGTTTGGGAGGGGGTACTGCATAACTTAGAAGGGAGTTGAGATTTATACACGTTTATATAAAATAACCACAAAACCAGAAAGAGACAACATGATGAAGTGGGTAAGATTTGTCACAGTGAAAGCAGCCCCTAAATATATTCTCCAAGCTCAATATGAATAAAATCCATGCAGTGTCTTGTAGTCCAAAGGCCCCTGTGATGCAGCCACTGCCCGCATCTGATTAGCCTCTCTGCCTGTCCCTCCCACTCATCATGCTGCAGCCACGTGAGTCTGCTCTGATCTGCTCACTGGAGTGAAGACTGTTCCTGCCTCAGGGCCTTTGCTCATGATCTCCCTCAGCACCCTCTGCCCCACACCTTCAAGGGTGCACTTCTTCCCATCTTGAAAATACACCTTAACTTTATCTGCCTCTCGTTATATGCACACCCTTCAGAGAACACAGCATAGTCTGTAATTATTTTATTTCTTTACATGCTTTTTTTTCTTTTTAGAGTTTTTGATGTGGACCATTTTTTAAAAGTCTTTATTGAATTTGTTACAATACTGCTTCTGTTTTAAGTTTTGGTTTTGGGGCCCTGAGGCATGTGGGATCCGAGCTCCCCAACCAGGGATTGAACCTGCACTGCCCTTCACACACTGGAAGTCAAAATCTTAAACACTGGACCACCAGGGAAATACCTCATGTTTTTTGTTTTAAACCACTATGTACAATTTATGAGGAAACATCTATTTTTTTTTTTCTGTGGGGATTTTCATTTTGTAAAACTAAATTGAGCTGACTGCCTGGGACATAGTACCTACTTAGTAAATATCTATTTAGTGACTTACTTTCACTTTATTCCTTCTGAGTGATATTATACCATCTAGAGATTCGTTTGGCTGTAGAAGCAAGATTTTAAAAGGTAAATATCATGAGGTTGGTCAAATACCTTTAATACCTTATTGGGACCTAATCAGATGTTTTCTGCCAGCGATCAAGATTGCTTTCATAACATCATGCATAGGTATAACTATGTATTCTTAACTTTGTTCCTTCTTTTCTCTCTTTCCATCTTCCTTAAAGGGTTTCCCAGGTGATGCTAGTGGTGAAGAACCCGCCTGCCAATGCAGAAGACCTAAGAACCACGAGTTTTGATCCCTGGGTCGGGAAGATCCCCTGAAGGAGGGCATGGCAACCCACTCCAGTATTCTTGCCTGGAGAGTCCCATGGACAGAGGAGCCTGGAGGGCTGCAGTCCAAGGGTCACAAAGAGTCGGACACAACTGAAGTGACTTTAGCCTGCAAATATACATCTTCCTTAAAAAGTTTTTGTAACATGGATAATATATTATTTTTTTCTATATTTTAACACTAAAATAAATAAGTTTTTACTATAAAAATGTTATACATAATAGGATATAAAACTTATCAAAGTACATATATAATATAATGCAAAATGAAAATTCTTCTTTTTATATCTCACCTCCAAATTCTGACCCCAATTTCACTTGTCCCTCTAAAAAGTGCCAATTGCTGTTAACAATTTGGAATATATACTTTCAAACAATTTTCTACCCATTTGTAAGCTTCTTATTGAATCCTTGCATTACTATCTATTTTATTGATTTCTGCCCTTTTCTTTGTTATTTTCTATTCTCTATTCTCTTTGGGTTTATTCTCCTATTCTTTGGGTGTATTCTGAAGTCAAATGCTTAATGCATCAATTTACTACCTTCCTTCTCTTCTGTGTGAGCATTTAAGACTAAATTTCCCGTAAGTAGCCTTTTAGCTGTTACTATTACGGAAAGAGAGTGAGGTCCGGCTGCTGGCTGCTCAAAAGCCAATAAACAGCCCAGGTTGGTGGAAAGGAAAGTTTGCTTTATTTCAGATGCTGGCAGCTGGGGAGTGGGGATGGCAAAGTCTGTCTAAAGGCCAATTCCCCTCCTCCCTCCACTGGCAACCAATGAAGCGAGAGCTTTTACAGACAGTAGGAGGGGGCTACCTGTAGAAGCAGCACAGTGAGTGCTTAACCAGCATGGCTGAATCAAGGTCCCAGGGCCTCCAGAAGGAAGGAAATGGGAGAAGGCTGAATGGAGGAAGGGGTAAGCAGAGGTACCAGAGAACACTCCTGAGAAGGTCCCCGCTGCCCTTTTTGGTGTTCTGTGATATTTCTTCTGCTTCTTATACACATTGCACATTTAAAATAAAAATCCTGGAGCAAATTTTTCTAAGAAAGTGTGTCATCTTCTTAGAAAACCCGAGGGTACAATGGACACTGGAAAGAATATGATCTGAGAAACCCGTATAATGGAAGGAATTTGGATCACACACACTGAAAACGATTTACAAGTGTGTTGGTCCTTTTGAAATTTTCATGCCTGCTTAGATATTTTAAAAATAATTTAAAATATATCACTATGCTTTTCTTTCACCAGAGATGACATGTCATAGAGAAATTTTAGAATCCGTTTTCCAGGAATAATGGGTATAAGTGGCTCTCCAAATATCTTGTTCAGCTGTATTTGAGCTCTGATATAATTGTTACAAGGGTACCTAAAAGTTCCGATGATCTGTCCTGAATCCTTCTTAGAATGAAAAGTTTAATCATTGTGTTGCTTGAATTTGCTGTTCTGCCCATCACATCAATCTGAGAGGTGAAGTTGAAAAGAAACAAGTAAAATCTTACTAGAAAAGGCTATTTTTTTTTTTTTAGTGCTAGAAGATTAAAAAAGAAAGAAAAAGGAAATAGGAATGAGTGCCTAAATGTGGCAATAAGGTTTATCAGCAAGTGATGCTCAACAGAGCTTTCATAAGGAATCAATGAAGCTGGCAGTTTATGATTTGCAAACCACTGTCTGTTTAACCTTAAGAGTTATCACTCCCCTCTTCATTAGAATAGTAAATTAAAAGGTTCACAGGAACAGCTCAGTTTGGCTTAATTTAAGTCCCTTCCCAGAAAATGTGGAGATTAATATGATATAGAAATCAATATTTTTCAGCTACGGAGACTTGGGACTTGGCATATTTCCTCCCATCCTCCTTTCTCCCATGGGCGTCCAGATTCTATTCCTATAATCCTTAAATCCCCAGCTTATTCCCATCACCATAGAAACACCTGCTGTGTGATCAGTTTTGATCAGTTGCAGGCTAACCCTCGGTGGCTTCTGCCAGCCAGGCTCTTCTGGCTTCAACCCCTGTTCTGCAGGGCAAAGCACTGGGGTGGGAGTCTCGCCAGGTCTGTTATCTGACTCGCTCCTCGGGGAGATGTTCTCTTCTTGCTTGTGTTAGCAAGGCCTCGGATGCCACGGGCCACAGTCATTTCTGAAATAACTTCCATACATATGGACAGATCTAAATTCTTTCCTCTTCTGTCTTCCTCTCTCCTTTCCTGTCCTTCCTTTCCTTCTTCCTTCCTCTTCTCCTTTCTTTCTTAGTTTCCTCTTTAATCTTCAGTTTCCTCTCATTCTAAAGTAGCCACTGACCTCAGCCTGACATGTGGATGTTGAGAAAATAATTAACCTTCTGGGAGATGTTTTTTCTGAATGTTTCAGCCTTATATCAAGAGCTTCACAATTGTGACCATCAGTGTTTGTCAGGGTGAAGTGTGTCCTCAGGGGCGGGGCTGGATGAAGCCAACGGATGTGCGCTTTAAACTCAGCTCTAGTTTCTGGGATGACACAGAGCAATGTGTTTCTATGAAGTCTGGAATATACACAGCCTGAAATTGTGTCTGAAATCAGTAGAAATGACACACAAAAAGAGAAGGAAGACTTTTTATGCAGGTGAGGGCTGCATTGAGCCACTCAATTGATTTGGTCACTTCAGCTACCTTCACAATTGATCAGGATTGTGTCAGGACTGATTCGGCTGTAGCAAATGGTATTGATCATTAAGATAGCAAAAGAGATTAGATCCCCATGTCACAGTGCAAAATGAAGTGAAGATTTGTCAATTATCCTGCGAGTTTGATCCATGCATTGTTGTCATTGTTTCTCTTAATATCAGCACAGTCAATTCTCTTTGGGGGATGAAATATTTCCACCGTTTGTCCTAAAAAATGCTTATAGATTTGGTCTGGTCTCTCTTGCCAAATATAACTCAAAATTTTAGGCCACTTTCAGCTGATTTGAGTAAGACAAAATGGTGAGGAGATAAAGACAAACATATAATTACAATGGAGTTGAACAATTATGCCCACCCAGGGAAGGGAATGGAATACAGACTACAAAATACAAACACAGAATACAAATACAGAAAACAAAAGGGGATAGAATAAAAATTCTGCTATTAGGGAGCATTTTCTTTTAGACAAAATATCTCATCTTATTAACTATGCTCTTCCAGTAAATGAAAAAAAATGTTTTATTGGTATCAAGTAGTTTGATCTGATCGCCTCTAAACAAACAATGCAAACATGTGAACTTGTCATATTCATCAGGGAAGAAGGGAGAATGATGACTGCTTCAGGTCCTGTTTTGGGTTGAATTCTGGTCAGCTATTTGCATTGTTCATGCATTTGTCCACACTGGTGGTTCACGTGGCCGAACCACCAATCCAGCCACCAACTCTGTCTCGTGTGTTCTCCTCTCGACTATATAGACCCTCACCAGATCAGAATTTCTAAGGAGCCAGTGATATTAAAGACAATCGACTGCTTCTTTTCCTCTGTTTAATTGAAGATCACAGCTCAAGCTACCTCAAGTGCAGGTGCCTCAGTAAAATATTATGTCTTCATCTTCACAAAAAACCATCACCACCACTACCCCTACCACGAATCCCCCACTGTGGATTTAAAAATCCACAGCTTTTAAAAAGTATTCTATATTTTATTTGTTACTTATATTTACAGCTCTTGATTTTTAGACTAGGTGAGCAGTGCTGAGAATTTACAATTAAAGCTCTTTGGTTACATAGAACATAAATACCAATTCTTATACGCTAACACTATTCAAGATGGATT